AAAGGTTCAGAATCCTGTTATGCAACCGTATGTGCTCAGGGTGGAACCCGAAGGGATGAAGAGGGCAGTGGTGGAGGAGGGGAGGGCTGCTGCTTTAGGCAAAGAAGAGAATCCTCTCTGAGGTGAAATCCAAGAGGCACTGTCTAGTGGAAGAAAGCTCCTAAGACAGGGGACTTTGCACATGACAGCCCTGGCTTGAACTTCGTACAGAAGCTGTAACCTTGGGAGGTTGGTCTAACACTGCTTTAGATTTCGAGAGTTCTCATTGTTTAAGGGATTATAAAGACACAATGTTCAAACAAAGAGGGCTCAGTAGTCAAGAACAGTGGGCACCCATATATCTGACTATCTACAGCACTCAAAAGACCACAAAACAGGGAAGAAGATGGTGCTTATTTCTTATATGCTGATTCTGAGTGTCCCCCAAAAGAATCAGGCTCAGGACCACATGCTGATCGCAAGAGGTGTGGGCTCCACTCTGACTGCAATCTAGACTTTAGCAGTTGCCGTGTGTGCAAACATGTGTATGTGTGTGTGCATGTTGGTGGGTGGGTGCGTGCGTGCATGTGTGTGTGTGTGTGTGTGTGTGTGTGTGTGTGTATGTGTGTGTGCATGTTTACAAAGAACTTTTCAAGCTTTGGTTTTTGCATCTGTACAGTAGGCAAGATGGATGAGCCTTTTGCATAGGTTTCTTTTGTTTGTTTGTTTTCTTTCTTCTTCTTCTTCTTCTTCTTTTTTTTTTTTCATTTGGCAGAACCAGGGATTGAACTCAGGCCCTTGCGCTTATTCTACTGAGCCATCATTCCAGCCCCTGCATAAGGTTTTAAGGATACAAGATGATGCTTTGACACACTAGGCTCATATTAAAAAGAAAACTGTTATTAATGACCCATTAATAGAATATGAATGTATTACATGTGAGATATGGCATAAGCTGTGTACAATTCTCTTAAAGAAATATGTCATAGCATTAAAGTAGTTAGTCCTTCTGCATGATTTCTGTTTAACTAATAAAGGCGATTTTCTTCTGTTCTTGGTATTTCAGACTCTTCATTTGTGGGAATAAGCCATGAGGCTAGCACTACTGTAAATCTATGACAGCCTCAGTGGGATGCCAGCATGTACAGTGCTGGCAGTAATGGCAGGAAGCCTAGGGGCAGAGACCTTGTTACACCTTGAAACCTAGCACAGAGCTTTCCTACTTTGCAAACTAAGAAAAGGCATTTTGCCCAGGACAAGCGAATTTATTTAACCAAAGTGCTTTCCCAGAAGCAGAGCGGAGTTCTTTCCTGTTCTCTAGGTCCTCAATGTGTGTCTCAGTTCACATCACAAAGGTGCTCCAGGAATGAAGAACGACAACTACGGTTTTCTGAAGAGGCCACAAATAACAACAGGAAATGCATGGCTCAGGGAGGGCGGCCAGGTACAAAGGAAGACACTGCCACTGCTGCAGCACTCAATCACAGATGCCACTAACAGGATGCGGGCACGGCTGGGGGACCACAGGCTTCTAGGTTCAAAGCCTGGAGGAGCTGAGGGCCCAGGTACAACACAGGATTATCCATCATCCTGACATGAGAAGGCAAAGGGGTCAGCCAGCCCAGCAAAGGCTCATGTTGCTGCCAGCTCCACTCGTGCTCCAACAGTTAACATGTCTACAATCAAAGTGCCCTGTGTGATGCGTTGGGTGGAACAGACCAAAGTATTTGTTAGGCTGGAAGGACAGAGGTGCAACATGCAACCCTGTTAACAACAGCTGGAAAAGTGGCCAGCTGGTCACCCCCCAGGATGCAGGAGGCTGCTGCTTCAAGACTCAGTGGTGCAGCTGCTCATGGAGCTGTGCACGTGGATGAGGTGCTCACGATGACCTCAGCACATCATTACACTCACACTCGATGTCCCTTGTCTTCATTGAAACCTGAGGTCCCCGCTGAACCCCTCCCCCCTCACGGGAAATCCAGCCTGGGAGTATCACTCAGCATGAAGCGGCTAGTCTGAAGCTAGAGACTAGTTTCAAACAGCTTCCCAAACAAGGATTCAGAAAAAATAGGAGTATTTGAGAGTTAGGTAGAGGAAATGTGGAAGTTAGCAAGTTTAGAAGTTTCTAGAGCTCTTCATTATAGTACGATGCCTGCCTGAAACTGTGCCTCTATGATAGAAATGCTGTAATTTGGAAGCATTGTTTTTGCTTTCAGTGGGAAGATCCCAGGGTCCCAGCCGATGGCCAGTGTCCCTGGTGCTGTGTAATGCTCATCGGGTCTGCATCCCGAAATCCTGGGGAGAACTCTTCAATGAGTGTCCTCTCCTTTACCTCTGGAGTCCAAAAGCACTTGGGAAAAGAATAAACAGAAAAGCAAAGTGCTTGCTACTAATAAACATAAATTTCTCATTAGAATGAGACTAAACCAAAAATAAATAAATAAATAAAAACAAACAGCGAGAGTGCAGATCTTGCTATCAGAAGCAGTAACCAGGAAAAGCAAAGCCTGTGAGCGGACTGAAGGATATGAACGTTAGGTCCTGTTGTCTCGCTGATCTCCTGAGTTCTCCCCGAGCACAGGATTGACCGACTTGTCTGTCCATGAGAGATTCCATAGAGACTGCCCTGTCATGGCGGATACAGCAATTACCACACAGTCCTAGAAGAGTGTGATGAAGGGCCTAGGAAAGTGACCACTGGGGAGTAGACCTCAGAGCATTTCACCATAAATTCCTCATGGGAACAGTCAAGGCGTCTCACAAGCTCATCGTGGTCAGCTGTGAGTCCTTTGTTCCTGGTGTGGTGGTTGCTGTGGGAGGGCAATGACGGCTTCCATAAATAACTTCTTCCAGACAAGCTTATAGTCTAATAGAAAGAATATCAAAAAGAAGGGTGACCCTGGCCCCCAGTGAGAGGATACAGTTTGACATTTCTCCCACTAGATGAAGAACTGATGGGTATCACTCAGAACTAGTGGACACTGACTAGAAATTAGTGGATACAAGGTCTTTTTATTTAAAAGCCAAAGGGATTTTTCTAGATGAAAATATTTTTATAATGAAGGAAAATTTTCAAGGGGCTATCACTTTCTAGTTAAGGTCACAAGTCTCCACACTTTTTTAATGTTGTATTTTCTCCTGTTATATTTTACTTTGTGTTTGTGCTTATGCTTATTGAGGAATGAAGGAGGTACTGAAAGATGGACTCCCATTCTTATTAAATGCAGTAATTGTGAAGAAACTAGGGAAAGATAAGGACATGTATATAAATAGGCAAATTTACTCAAGTCAATGTACAAAATGTACCTCACAAAGGAAGTAAAATTAACTGTAAAATCAAACTTAAAAACCACAGAATGACTAGCAGTCAAGAGAAATGGAATGGGTATGAATCAACAGCACAAATAGAATGACTATTCCTTATCTGAAACACTTGGGGTCAGAAGTTTCTGGATTATAGTTTTTCTTTTTTTTTTTCTAGGTTTTAAAATATGTACACATATACCATAAGATCTTGGAAATGGGAACTAAGTGTAAATACGAATTCATTTATGCTTCATTTATATTTTATACAGATAGGCTGGATGTAATTTTAGACAATATTTTTGAAAATTTTATAGAGGCAATCTGGTCACATGGTGTGAATTTTCTACTTGTGTTGTCATGTCAGTTATCAAAGAGTTTTGGATTTGGGAGCATTCTGGACTTGGGGATGTAGATGTCCAACACACAGTGTCTTGTCTTGCGCTGTTCTACTACCATGGGAAAAGCAAGATGCCCACCAGGACTGACGCATACCATGTAGGGAAACAGCCACCAGCAGGGACCTGTACCCATGTGGCTCAATAAGATCTGAAAATGGGGACTTGGAGAAATGCAAAGAAGTACAGGTCTGGCAGCTCAGCTCCATCTTAGAAAGTTAACTCTTCAGGCAGTCTACCAAATCCTGATCAGGAAAAGAGTAAAGTACAAAGGTGGGAGAGCTTCCCCAAGCACCAGTAGGTCAGGCTCTGGGCTATGCATGTTTTGTTGACTTCTTCAAAGTCTTTTATATCCAAGGATTTTGACACAGAAAGATTAGGTATTTGTCCAGAGTTAACCAGCTGGTAAATAGCTAGAGAGAAAGAAACTTCTGTAGACCAGGCCTGAAACCCAAACCCCCATACCTTTGGCCATTTGCCTGGAGATGAGAGCACACTGGGGAGTAGGGGGACTCAGAGCACTCTGTAAGCCTCCACCCAGCACACCCTGCTGCACTCTCCTTAAGGCTTGGTTTGAGTTAAGTACACTCAGTGGTTCCTTGGCATCTGCAAAGGATTGGTTTCAGGAATCCCCGTGGATATTATAAACTGAGGATGCTCAAATCACTTATATATAATAACATGGCATACTATTTTCATATAACCTAGGAACATCCTCCTTTATAATCTAAGATTACTTATAACTTCTAGATTACTTATAATATGTAAAACAATGTAGATGCAATGTACCTAGCTATAATGCCATATTGTTAAGAAAATAAAGACAAGGGAAAAAAATCTCTTTCCAAATATTATCTATCTGTGGTTGGTCAAACCTACTGATGTGAATCCCAAGGACACTGGTGGCCAGATGTTTTACACTGAATTAACCAGACTCACAAACTAAAGCACCTAAGCCAAACCTAAAAGGTAGTATTTTGGGCACTGGACTGAGTTATATGTTGCTTCTAGTTTTTTCTTAGCCATTAACTTACCATATAAACGTGGAACAATCATTTGTCCTGAATAATATGAAAGCTTCACCATGTCAATGGTTAAGGGAAATGCTCTAATGTGAAGACCCAAACAAGCATTGTGCAATGAGTTGGTCACAGAACGGTAACATACAATGGCTTGGGTCAAACAACATCAGCTCGTCTGACCTGCTTATTTTACATATTACGTACACGATATGTATTTATGGTCTTCCTTAATATTTCAAAGTGAACTGAATATTACATAAGTAATACTGATCATTAGAGACATGCAAAGGTCACGTACTATTTTCTTATCATAGGACTCTCCGCTGCTGTAGGTGGTGGCCAACGTAGACGAACACTCTTCCAGGTACCACGGCTTCTTTCCGCTTTCTGCTGTGCTGCTGATGGAGATGGTGTAGATGCTGTTGGTGTAACCATCGCAGGAGCAGTGATCTTTGCTCCTTCCGCCATTGCCAGATGCCCAGACAAACACAGAGCCAAGGCCTCTCCGTCCCTGTTCACAAACAGAGAAAGCTAACTGATGGCATGAAGAGATAAGAACCACAGGGCTGGGTCAAGGGAAGACCAGAAACAGCAGAGCAGAACCAAATATTTTGCAGGAGGGTGCGGTGTTATTTTAATGATATTCTCCATTTAAGCTTCTTTTGGCCAGGGAAAGAGAAATTGCTTTGATAAAATAAAAGTCATAAAGTACCAAGAATAATGGCACCATAATAAGAAATAATAAAAATGTATAACAATGATGTTAATATTTACGGACTGAGCACAATTCTAAAGACATGAAGTGGATTGAATTCTTTCAGTAATCCTAGGAGATCAGTGTTTGTCCCCAGGCTACAAATGAAAAATTGAAGTACAGAAATTAAACAATGCTCCTAAGGTCAGAAAGCAGTAGGTGACAGGGCCAAGTTTGAATCTAGGGAGCGGAACTTCTTGATAAGAATGTTATTAGCTAAAGCCAATATAATCAATTATCACTGTTTTAAATCTTCGCATTTACTGTGAAATGGGGTTCCCAGTTTCCCTCATTTTATATCTCAGGAACATGGAGTATAGAAAGGTTACGCACCTATGATGAATAGACTGTCAGTGAGGAGAAGATTCAGGTACTGACTACAACACTCCTTCAAGAGTGTCCTCCTGTTTGCACGCTTGGGACCCCTCTACTGAGGCATGCTAATGATGTTACCATAAATAAAAAGATTTCAAGAATACATAACCGGTGGGATTCCCTAAGATAAAAAAGTCATTAAGCTTCTTTATTTCAAAATCTGTAAGAACCTTTGATAAGTGAATGTTCACTGCAAAACTCTAACAGTGGGATATAATCTAATATAATTTTCTCATATTTGACCTTATGTAGCTTCTTCAACAAAATCCATTAACTTTTTCCTCTACTGCTAGAAGATGCAGTCATATTCATTATGCTAAAACTTGGTAGTTTAAAACAGAATAAATAAAAGACATTTCTTATGATCTTAAATAATTAAGGAATATAAGTAAAGAAGAATACAGATGTATAAAGCAAAGTTACTCATTGGTTTCCTAAGATGATGTTTTCAGAAGATAGCAGAGAAATAAGCAAAAATAAATGGCAGTTTGGGGGACAGGTATAGCTGAATTGATAAGAAGTTTTACAAAATTATTTTAAAACTAGAAGACATACTGGAGGAGCTCTAGGCTACGTCCATCATGTCATATTCAGGATGTAAGAACCACATCACATCGCTGGTGATGGCCCACCATCTTCCTTCACGGCCTTGATTTTCTGGTCACAGGTAGAAGGGAAAGCATTTGAGATACTGTCTTGGGACTGCTGGAAAAAGGGAGAACAAAGCACCTAGGGCATCCATAATAAACTCTCCCGAACCTTGAATTCTCAAGGAACAGAATATGTATGCCACGACTTGATGAAAGTGAGCATACACTTCTTTCTGTCCTTCAATTTGGGGAAAAATGTAATCTAATTACATAGTAAAAGTAAAAATTGATGAAGAGGAGTGGGAGAACAAACTTCCAGTTCCTACTATTGTTAGGTGAATGCGCTTAGTTTATGATCTGTTTTTCTCTTCACAGTATTCAAGAAACCCACAGAAAGATGTAAGAGTCAGCATATCCTTATGATGAAGAGCATCTGTCAGTGTCTCATGGACCTCTAGGAGAAATTACCTCGCACCTTGCTGCTATAGGTGGTCGGTCTAAGGAACTCTGGAGGTGGACTAGCAGGCGGACTAGCAGGTGGACCACAGACACACCCAGAGAGCCAGAGAAGAAAGGCAAGATGTTTCAATTCATGGTCAGCACACTGTCTCTAACAGATACTGAGAGGCTGCGTAATGGGCCAAACATGCGGTCATTACTGAGTCTGGCCTGGGTAGGTCGACAGAATACATGAAATGGCACAAAAGCTCACCTAGCTTAAACGCCACCATAAGAGAGATGACCAATTGAGAATCACAAAGCAATGAAAAAGCACATGAAAAACACAATGGCATTTATGTATCCATCTATGTAAAGTTATGATGAAAGTAGACCCTATTTTGAAAATAGGCCCTATTTATTAAAAGATCTTTAAGTAGTAATTTGATTTTAAAGAATATTTAAAAAGAAAATGTTCAGAGAGTACTTTTATGTTCATGATGTAGTACTAACGCAGATACAAAACAATGAAGTATGGTTTTGTATCTTTGGTTAAAAAAAGCGTGTGCATGAATATGTGCATACGCATGTGCTGGGTGTGTGTGTGTGTGTGTGTGTGTGTGTGTGTGTGTGTGTGTTTGAGCACAGAAGAAAGCCATGTGAAGACACAGTGAAAAGATGGCGGGCTGCAAGCCAAGGAGAAAGTCTCGCTAGAATTCAGCTTTTCCAGTCCTTTGACCTTGATCTCCAGCCTCTGACCCATGAAGAAGCAAGTGTCTGCTGCCTGAGAACCAGGACTGTCATATTTTCTTAGGGCAGTGCCAGTGGACTAACAAGGACAGAGGAGGATGTAACAATGACCAGCCCTCTTGAGGGCTTCAGAATGGGCAGAGGCTGCCATCATCTATCAACAAGGCCACCCCACTTTCTACCCACGGGTAGAGTTGATGATTAAAGTCTCACAAAGGATGGGCCGGCGAAATAGTTCAGTGATCTAAAGTGCCTGCTTGGGCAGGCTTAGGCTAGCGTTCAGGGACAGAGACTGTGGTTCGATCCTCAGCACCACACGCTGTGTGAGTTTATAGAGAGAAAACACTGAAAGCATTTTCCTGAGATATAGGAAATGATAGTCCTAACTTGGTAAGATATTGTGATTGCAATGAGTATTTAAATATGACTCTGCACAGAAAAAAAAAAATTCCTTCAATTTAACTGAGTGTCAAGTTAAAAGTTAACAAACTTGTTCTATCCCCAGTGAAAACAAAAGTTAACAAACTTATGGGGAAGTATACTGTTGAATCAAGGCAGGATCAATTCAGTTTGAACACAAAAGAGTCTTCTTCATAGTGCATCTAAATGTATATGCCTCTTGTGTATGCCTTTCAAAAATCAGTTTACATGGCCTGATAACCATTATTATTAATGGGTAAAAGGAATTAGAGGATTCTTCTTCTTTCTTTCTTTCTTTCTCTCTTTCTTTCTTTCTTTCTTTCTTTCTTTCTTTCTTTCTTTCTTTCTTT